CACCGTGTTTCCTTCGATAGTAGTAAGATTGATTTAATCTTAATTCGTAAGACGTAGCAATGCTACGATCCCCTACAATATATCCGAATAATAATATCCCTTCATTTCCTACGTTTTTCATTATTCACATTTAGAATAATTCTTGCCAAAATTTCATATCGCTTAAATTTACGTGGTAGGAAGACTTGGAGTAAAACACATCGTTCAAGATTGTTGTCCTGTTGACAGTGACTTGCAATGTATGCTTGTCGAAGAATCGTACTCGATTTAATAGCGAGCTTGTTGTCGAAGAAACGCGAAACAAATCACTGATAACTTATCTGTATTTAGTTCGAGCACGCCTTTCACCGGATACCGTGTGTAACAGTGTAACAAATCTAACAGGCTTGACGGCGATTATTTTTTTTTTTTTTTTTTTTCTTTTTCTTTTCTTTCTTTCTTTTTAAATCTACGAAAGCAAATGATAAATGGACCGTTAGAAGCAATGTCGAACGAAGTAAAACCGTGTTTAAATTATCGGAAAATCATGCGAGTCGAGTATGATCGACCGATTATTTCTAAGCGTTGAATCCATCCATCCGTGTTTATTCGATCATTCCTCTATATTGCGTTTCGATGATTAATCGATAAGTGATCCCATTGTGTATCGTGCACGTGCATATTTGTCGCGAGACGAATTCCATGTTTTTTACATTTTTTTTTCTTTTTTTTTTTTTTTTTTTTTTTTTTTTCTTTTCATCGCGCGATTATTAACATTGGTTATTAAATAGATAACACGATTACGATTATTGGCATATACGGCCGTTACTATCTACTTGATTTCGGTGGAAGGTGTCCTCGAAAAAACCAGTGTTCAGTCCAGGGGAACGATCGAAACGAGTAAACAAAACACCACCCCCCTGTGTACGACACGTGTTCGTTCATACGCATACACGATTACGATTTAATTAATGTAATTGTAGCGATAATGTTAATGCGATACCGAGCTAAAAAGCACTGTGACGCTCTGTGAAACTCTACATGCCTTACGATTTGTAAATCTCGTATAAGGTACGTACGTACATACGTACGTATATGTACGTATACGTATGTATGTATGTATGTATGTATGTATGTATGTATGTATGAATATGTAAGGTATCAACGTGCTAGCTTGTGCCTCGGGAAATGAGATTCGTTTTAGGCTGTTCGCGCACATTTACCCGAATCAAATCGAACGAGACGTGGAAAACTCTAAATCGGGATTGGATTCCTCGATTCGAGGGAATCGGTTCAACGTACGAACACGCGTCTCTTTCAAAAGCTTCTTTCTCGTTCGGAAAGAAGGATGGAATCGAGTGCGTTTGAGACGAACGTTTGCTGCGGAAAATGAAAATTAAGGATAAAGAGGAGGAGTAACTCGAACATAAATTTCGATGTCGATTCGGGCAGAGGCGCAATATTAATAATAATTGTAATAAAATCTCGAGCTTTTCGGCCCACGCTTTATCACGGACCCGCTTAATCAGTTCTTCCATAATCAACAATTATCGTACACCTATATCACGGGATTAAACGTGTTAATGTTAATAAAACTGTACTTTGATAGACTACTCGATATACTATAATAATAATAATAATAATAATAATAATAATA